GGGGGGGGGTTTCGACCTGAAAAATCAGGGGTTAGGATTTGCACCCGGTCGAAAGAAACCTTGCTATCGCAAGAGTAACTCCAGCTAGCTTCGCTAGCTTTCGTGAATAATAGAATTAATCAGAGTGAAACATGAAAGGTCTCGATCAGTTAGAACCGCTTGGGGCACGGTCTGCATAATGTGCCATCAGGGGTACTCAGAAAAATAGGTGGACGTCTCCACCACTGATAAACGGCACTTCGACAACAAGTCGAATAGCATGAGCGGTCAAGGTTCCAAAATGTGGCGTCAGTCTTTTTCAAGCAAGCGCTGCCAAAAACTAGGCAAGCAAGCGCCGCACAGTCTGTCACGCGCTCAACCTGCCAGCGCACTGGCGCTGATGTGGCGAGTGACTTATTGTGACAGTGACCTGCACACTTCGAGCTACATCCGGCAAAACACGTTCTGCCCCTGCTGTCAAGTAACTTTATTTGATGGAGCCCAGCAGTGGCCACGTCGCGCCACACCAAGCTGCAAAACATGCATTGCAACCAGGGACTCGGTTTCTACTCCTGAAGGAAGAAATGAGATTTCAGTTGCTCCCTTTCCAGTCACACCCCCCCAAAAGTCACGCATCTTTATGATTGGTTCATGTCAAAATTGGGCAGGTGTAATGTTATTTATATATATAATATACACCTTTCGCTTTTGCACACGTGACCTCGCGAATCAGGAAATATTGTTTTCTAACATGGTTTCTCTATATGCCGTTCCCAAGCAGCTGGAGGCTATAGGAATAAGTACAGACTTTACCGCCATTCAACTATTTGACGCCAACAAATCATGCCGAAGCTGTTTGGGGTCTATGCTGGCATAATCAATTTTACTTATATTGATGTGTTTGAATTACCTTCAAAAGTGTTTGTGATATGCCTGAATAGTGTTTGGTGAGCTGGCTTGTGCTACTAGGAGTCCGTTGAGGCCTGTGCATTTCTTGAATGACTCATTGTTTCCTCCACAAGCCCTAGTTGAATTGCTTGGCAAGCTCTTTGAACTCACTCCAGGCTTCTCATCAGCGCCTGCCAGGACCTTGTCGGTGTGATGCTTGCCAAGTCTTGAGTCTTCACACCGCAGCAATGCACTGGAAAGAACGGGCGGCCTGCAATTTCAAGAAGCTCTTGGGGTGGTTTTTGCCTTAAGTCGAAACAGTGACTTTTCAAGAAGGCACAGAAAATATGGTGGACCATGGCCTATGCTAGCTAAGCCAACAACCCAACGTCTCGCATGGCCTTGCGCATGAGCGACAAAACTGGATGGAAAACTTGGACTGTGAATCGTTGAGCCTTGCTGATGGCTCGCGCCATCCGGATCATATCCGGTGTGTATGCATCAGCCGGAAAAAAGGTAACGGCTGTGCCAGTAGCACTTCCACCTGGAGTCCATGAACGACATAAACAAAAGGCCACCATGCAACGCTTCGCCGGCTGAGCACACCACGCCCTGTCCGCCCAATGCGATGGATGTAATCTTCGACGGTTTTGGGAACATCCTCAGAAATGAATACATTTCTGTCGAAGTTTCAAAAAGAAAAACCTTGGCACCGGACATAGTTTACCACATAGTTGACATCTTTGATGTCGAGGCCTCTTTGTGCTACGTCGGTGGCAATAAGAATGTTGCAACCTCGATGCCGTTCGTTGCACCAATTCTGTCGGGAAAAGACAGTTCATCTTCACCACTCCGAATCTCAGTGGTGAGACAATCAACAACTGACAATCAACACTTGTGTGGAACCCACCCTGGTTGACGCGAAAGTGCGCAATGAACATGGCTGATTTTAGAGGGGTCTGGGCATGTTTGGGCTCCATAACAAGACCTCGACACATGGGTTATTGTTGCTTTGCGACGAAGACCGTTTGCAAATGCAAAAAGAGAAAATAAGAGATCTATGTACTTGCCTGAGGATTCTCATCTTGTTTGCAGCTTCAATGCCATCAAACAGTGTCAGAACTGTTTCGCATGTGTGTCCGTACCCAACTCTGACCCGAAGAGCTTGTTAAGATCTGCAGCTTTTGGATTTGTAAAAATGAACTTTGGAGCTTTCTGGTTGGATTCAAGTTGTCTTTGCCTTCGTTCCAGGTCGGGATACCATACACATGACTTAAAGTGGCTTAAGACCTCTTCTGAACAACTCATTCCAGAATATCGAAATTTGCGGTATGAAGCCACAAAGGTCAAAGTTTGCCAGGAGAACACGCTCCCCATACTGAACGGGAAATGACTGACGTAAGACCTTTGCCTACTAGCGATGGAATCTTGAAAATTATGAAGCTTTGTTGGAAACCGTAACCCGAAGTGAGTAGCAACAGATCTAAATTGGAGAGAAGATGGTGAAGGAAATCCAAGCACTCTTATCTTGGAGCACACTCAAGAGAAGTTCAGGAGACGGTTTGCTTTCTGGACAAAGAATCATCACTTTTACACTGTCTACTTTGATGCACCTTTTCTGCAGAATGCCTACTATTCACACTCTTCACTTGAAATGTCTACTTGCCTGTACTTTCCTGTAGACAAGTTACTTTTCTCGACAAGCCTCTACTTTTCCATACTTTTCGCTGCACAGCTCTACTTACTTGTCTCCAGAAACCTTTACATGGCTGTACCTTTCTCTGGTTTCCTCTACTTTACTTGTTTCCAATTTTCGCTGACAATGCCTGGAAATCTATACT